TACCTGTCTTTTCTCCAACTATTGCCTTAACGAAGGCACTTGTTGCTTTCAGGCCTAACTCATTCTTTGTAAGGATCTTACTTGGAGGTGGGAGTGCGAAGTGGAGAGTTAAGGCACACTCCTGTATTTTAACACAAACCGAGGAGACTCGAGGAAGAAATCTCTGAGGTTGTGAAACAATGCACTGGGGCTTCACATGAAAATTTCTCCTGGATACACAGAACAGACGATGGAAATCCAATAGATTAGTCAGGTACGGCTCCAATGGTCAGGGCAGGCGGCAATCGGGCAAATATGGTAGACAGTTCTGAAGGTCAAAGCAGTTGTCAGATGAACAAAACAGGAGACAAAACCATCTGACAAGGAGGAAGTGGCAAGGCAGGGCTTATAAAGGTAGCTAATAAGCTACTAATCAGGAATCACGTGCAGGTGTGATAATAGTCCAGGAATAGAAATGCAGATACCATGGCAAGAGAAAAAGAACCAGAATAAAGTAGAGAAGTGGCGATAAGGTAAGTTCACTGACTGGGATGAAGAAGATCTAGGTGCAATCCCAGCTTGGCCCTGAGAAATGATGTCCACACCTGGCAGTCTGCTTGGCACAATGCGAATCGTGACATTCTTAACTTGTGCCGGAGTTCAGAGACCATTGCAACCAGCCACAGGTCCAATAACTCTGTAACTGTGATCCCTCAGCAACCCAGACAGGGCACACAGTTCCCAATGGAACCAACACAAAATACTTTATTTTTCACTCAGGACTAGCCACTATCCGCATTACAGTAAACTTATGACGACATTCTCAATCCAATATATATAACTAAATCATATGGGAGATCAGACAGGCACTCATAATAACACAATAAAATATTAATAAAGGATTGGGGAGGACAATAACTAACCAGAAATATTTCCCCTGCCTGCCGAAACAATAGTATGCTAATCTACCTGAATATGCAAATTACAGGGTCTTGCAATTCAGGTAGTGCACATACCAGTTGCAACCAACAGGTGGCACTGCACAGAACTGTTGCAAGATATCACAGCCAACAAATGGCGCTGTACAGACTGGTTCCCCAGCCAAATCCACCTAGTTGGTAGAGAACATCAGCAGGACAGGAGAGCACACAAAACTTTTAACAAATAACATTAATACACATCCTGTACCTATTATGAACCCAGGGTGACTTAAACACAAGAGTTATCTGGGCACATAGAAACATAGAATGTGACGGCAGATAAGAACCATTCGGCCCATCTAGTCTGCCCAATTTTCTAAATACTTTCATTAGTCCCTTGCCTTATCTTATAGTTAGGATAGCCTTATGCCTATCCCACGCACGCTTAAACTCCTTTACTGTGCAGTTTATTGATATCTACCACTTCAGCTGGAAGGCTATTCCATGCATCCACTACCCTCTCAGTAAAATAATACTTTCTGATATTATTTTTAAACCTTTGTCCCTCTAATTTAAGACCTCTTGTTGTGGTAGTTTTTCTTCTTTTAAATATAGTCTCCTCCTTTACTGTGTTGATTCCCTTTATATATTTAAATGTTTCTATCATATCCCCCCTGTCTCGTCTTTCCTCCAAGCTATACATGTTAAGATCCTTTAACCTTTCCTGGTAAGTTTTATCCCGCAATCCATGAACCAGTTTAGTAGCCCTTCTCTGAACTCTCTCTAAGGTATCAATAACCTTCTGAAGATACGGTCTCCAGTACTGTGTACAAGACCAAGTGATGTCTCACCAGTGTTCTGTACAATGGCATGAGCACTTCCCTCTTTCTACTGTAAATTCCTCTTCCTATACAACCAAGCATTCTTCTAGCATTTCCTGCTGCTCTATTACATTGTCTGTCTACCTTTAAGTCATCAGAAATAATCACCCCTAAATCCCTTTCCTCAGATGTTGAGGTTAGGACTCTATCAAATATTCTGTACTCTGCCCTTGGGATTTTACGTCCAAGATGCATTATCTTGCACTTATCCACATTAAAAGTCAGTTGCCACAATTTTGACCATTTTTCTAGTTTAATAAAATCATTTGCCATTTGGCTTATCCCTCCTGGAACATCAACCCTGTTACATATCTTAGTATCATCAGCAGAAAGACATGCCTTACCATCAAGACCTTCTGCAATATCACTAATAAAAATATTAAAGAGAATGGGTCCAAGTACAGATCCCTGAGGTACCCCACTGGTGACAAGTCCAAGCTTCGAATATATTCCATTGACTACAACCCTCTGTTGCCTGTCACTCAGCCACTGCCTTACCCATTCAACAATATTGGAATCCAAACTTAAAGATTGCAGTTTATTGATAAGCCTCCTATGTGCAACAGTGTCAAAAGCCTTACTGAAATCTAGGTAAGCAATGTCTTCTGCACCACCCTGATCTATAATTTTAGTTACCCAATCAAAAAAATCAATAAGGTTAGTTTGGCATGATCTCCCTGGAGTAAACCCATGTTGTCTCTGATCTTGAAATCCATGTGTTTTTAGATGTTCAATAATCCTATCTTTTAATATGGTTTCCATCACTTTCCCCACTACTGAAGTAAGGCTTACTGGCCTATAGTTGCCCCTATTACCTTTCTTGTAAATGGGCACAACATTCGCTAACTTCCAATCTTCTGGGACTACTCCTGTTAACAATGATTGGTTAAATAAATCTGTTAATGGTTTTGCTAGTACACCACTAAGCTCTTTTAATAGATTTGGGTGTATTCCATCAGGTCCCATTGACTTATTTGTCTTTACTTTTGACAGTTGAAATAGAACCTCTTCCTCTGTAAACTCACATGTAATAAATGACTCATTTATCCTTTTTCTTAACTGAGGCCCCTTTCCTTCATTTTCATCTGTAAATACAGAACAAAAATATTAATTGAGGCAGTCAGATAGACCCTTATCCTCTTCTACATACCTTCCTTCTTTTGTTTTTAATCTAACTAATCCTTGTTTTACTTTTCTTTTCTTACACCTACATAAAGTATCTGTCTTATTCTCCCAGTGATGGTGACAAATATCACATGCAGCCATCCCTATATATTGTTCCTAAAGTCACCACTGTCTCTATATATGGCACTATTTCCTTCCTTATATTAGGCTGGTTCATACAGAATTATATTTCTAATAACGATTGAAGAAACTGGTACTTTTAGTAGATATACAGTGTATTAAAAGTGTAATACACAGTTTGGCCTCTCAGTGTCACTAAAGGATTACATTTCAACTTTATTTGTTGTAAGGATTAGATTTGTAAATCAGATTATATTGTGACCTACTTTATTTATTAAAGTGAGAATTAAAAGTGAATTTCAAATTTAAAGTCAAAATAGCTGAACTGGAAAAAGTCAGCTTTGTTTTCAGTTCAGTTCAATTAATACCCCTGAAAAGAAATGTAAATAATTTGGAATTCATAGTGTATTTCAAATTACAGAATAAAATATGTAAATTGGAAGAATTTTCCAATCCAGCTGTTTTCATTTTGGCTTCAAATTAGGAATTGACTTAATTCACTTAACCCCTTAAGGACACATGACATGTCATGATTTCCTTTTATTCCAGAAGTTTGGTCCTTAAAGGGTTAATGGGACACTATAAGCACCCAGACCACTGAAGGTACCAATGAGAGGCAGTGATTGGCTGAGGGTGTCAGCTGACTGCATTCAGCCTGTCAATGTCACCCTTGCCGCTTTAGCCATATCACAAAGGGGGCAAGGCTGTGGACCAGGGACTCTATTTCAGTGTTAAATAGCTCAAAATGGTTTAGGGGGGACAGCACTAGAGGACTTCAGGCACTCCAAACAATTCAATAAAAAAACGCTTAAGGTGCCTAGAGTGTACCTTTAAGGAGCCTAGATGGACAGGTCTGTCAATGCTCCAATCAGCTGCAAGATTACTGCCAATGCAGCCCACAGACCGAGTGGGCAGACCCGATGGGCATGTGTCTTCAGGGGCATGGTCGTGCGCTGTGGCCCTTTAACAATAATGTAATGGCAGTGCTGGGAGGATTTGAAAGCCTGTCAACCTTCATGCCAGCTAACACTGAGGGAGAGGGAGAAGAAGGCATAGAGAAGGAGGGGGATTGGGAGAGCCAGGACCTAACTCCCTACTGCCACATCCATCAGTAGCGATCCTCCATTTTGACCTGCGTGTGTCAGTGTTTGTATCTGTCTGTGTGTCTATATGTCGGTGATTATATCTGTCTGTCTAGCAAACAGTGAAAGACACTGGCGACACTCCAAAGTTCCAAACCTTGGAATGATACCCGTGTCTTTCACTATTTGCTAGACTCTAGCAGATTTCGGGGTCTGCTGTTTTCACGGAGCACCTCTCAGGCAGATAGCCGTATTACTAAGTGCGGTAAATGGCTTCTTGTGGTATATTACTATTATTTTATTATTTATATAGCACCAGGACGCACAGGAACAGAGGGGTTGAGGGACCTGTACAATGAACTTACATGCTAGAGGGAGTGGGATATAGTGACACAAAGAGTTTAAGTAGGGGTAATGAAATTGCCATATCTGTATGTCTATCTGTATGTGAGCCAGTGTTTTTCCCCCCATGTTTTATTGTAGAAAATAATCATACAAAACAGTATAAGGCATATCATGATGCTACTTTTGGGTGCATGCATCAGTAAGGTATGAACAGCAACAGGTGACATAAAACATACAGAATACAGCGTAGTGAAGCTGTTATGCAATTAGACCATCACAACTGGGCAATGCACATTTTATGGTGAGTAATGTATACGCTTCAACATACTGCTTGTGTGGGGGTGTGTTAGTCTCGAGTGGGAGCAATTATGGAAGAGCAATATTTAAGAACAATGGAATAACATATAACACTAGACTAATAGGTGAGAAACTACTGACAAATTATCAGCAAAATTAGGGGTATGGGCGGCCAAGAGTTAGTCTTCTCCAGTGGGCTGGTAGGGAAAACATGTGCCTCTGGTATTAGTAGGAAGGTCTAGAAACGTTTCTCAGGTGCCTGCCAAGTTCGGTTCCCCCGCTGCTGGTCTAATTTTAGGGTAGAAAGGCCGGACTTTACATATGTCCCACATCTGGGCCAAGGGTTGGAGGTCTGTGCCCGAGATAGATGTTTGTATGGTCTCTGGTGTAGGCAGTCCCATTGCGCTGAGGAACTTCCCTGCTTCTGACTGTTGCTGTAGCTGGATTCTCTTCCCGTCGTGGAGCATCGTTAGTTTGCGGCCAGGGCCCCAGCGGTAAGCCACTGCGTGGTCCCGCAGATGCTGAGTGATAGGACGTAGAGATTGTCGCCATTCCATGGTGGACCTAGACAGGTCATTAAAGAAGGAGAGGTCGGCACCCTCAAAACGGTACGTTGGTGTGTTGTGAACCGCTGCCTGTACCAGCTGCTTACTTTGCATGGACTGGAAGCATATTAGCAAGTCTCTAGGAACCCTATCCGGGGCTTTAGCTGGTTTTGGGATCCAGAATTAGTTCTCCACCGAGATTGCTTTAGCCTTAGATGGCGACAGTATGTAGTTCAGTAGGCGTCAGATGTAATGAGGGACTTCTGTACCTGTGATGTCCTCAGGAACATTCCGAATCTTGAGGTTGTGCTGTCTCTTGGCGTCTTCGAGTGCTGCAATCCTGCCCTCCATGAGGAGATTTGCTTGTCTGAGCTTGTCCATCTCTTGCCTGCATTGCACCAGAGTCCTCCAGTGCTTGCAATCTAGTTGTAATGACTCCAAGGTCCTCCCGGAAAATGCTTAGCATGTACGTCTGCTTCGGTCGCTGGTTAGCTCCACGTACGTGAGCCAGAGTTTGTGTCTGTGTAGCTGCTGGTGTGTCTGTGTATCTGTATGTGTATATGTATGCCTGTGTATCGGTATGTTCGTCAGTGTATGTATCTGTGTTTGTCAATGTATCTGTAGGTGTCAGTGTTTGTTTGTATTTGTATCTGTATGTGTGTTTTTGTCTGTTTATCTGTGTGTGTAGCTTCATGTGTCTGTGTATCTGCATGTCTGTATGTGTGTCACAGTGTGTATTTGTGTGTCTGCATATGCAGCTATATGTCTGTATGTGTGTCACAGTGTGTATTTGTGTGTCTGCATATGCAGCTATGTGCCTGTGTATCTGTATGTGTGTGTAGCTGTGTGTCCATTCAATTTCACAAATATGTATATCCACACACATACACCTGGCACTGCTGGGGGTGATCAGTAGCAGGAGGCACCCAGCGTTATCCAAGCCCCAGCTGTGACCAGTAATAATACGAAATAAGAACACAATAGGCGAATTTCAATTAAAAAACAATCTTTATTTCTAAGTGGAAAGATACCGTAGGGTATTAATGTATATATGTTTAGTTTAGTGAACGGGTGACCACAGCCCATAGAAGGTGTAAGTCCTCACTGACTACAACAAGCCAGCATGAAATGTACATTTACAGCTCTAAGTGTGAGTGATAGAAGGTGTCTGCCCGAAACAAACATGGCCGCCGCCGCCCTCTCTCACAATCCTTACATCGAGCAGATCGGCTGAGCCTAAGGCCACTAACGGCTGTCTAGTCTACGTGCAAGTAAGGCGCACTGTGATTGGCTGCTTCCAATAGCGCTCTGTCCAATCGTTCTGACTGTGTTTGAGCTGTGACAGCAACCAGGGTACACATTGGGAGTACGGGAAGTGCTGTGTGTGGGATGCCAGCTGTGCCAGGAGCCTCCAGCCCAGTGTTGGTGTCAATGCCAGTAAAGCCACAGCAGCTGCCATGAACCTGGGGTGAGTGTAACTCAGTGTGTGTCCATGTTATCCATGGTGTGTGACAGTCACTACATTAAAGGTCCACCATGGGCAGCCAGACCTCTTCAGCTCAGTGAGGAGGGAGGTCTGGGTGCCAGGTCCCCCAGGTTTTCACCCTGCAGCTGATACTGCCATATATACATTGCAGGGTTAAGCCAGCCTCCAGTATTCTGCCTCAATCACGCAGCGCGTCCATAGGAAAGCATTGAGAAATACATTCCTGTGGACACTTTGAATGAGCGCATGCGCGTTCTGCGCTGGTGACGTCAGACATGGATGCTGACATCGGCGGGGGAGGAGAGGTAAGGGAGCCCGGCGGGGGAAACGGGTGAGTAGCTGAAGGGGGACCCTGCGGGTGGGGGCACCCTCAGGGTACTATGGTTTTCCTGACACACTATAGTGTCCCTTTAAGGTCAGGGTAGCTGAACTGAAAGAATGGCTGACTTACACATTATTTCCAGTTTGACTATTTTTAACCATAACATTGAAATTTACTTTGAATTCCCTCTTTAGTAAATAACCCTGTCTATTCTCAATTTTAGTGAATTCAATTTGAATGGTACAATTAAAGTAAAAAAAAAAAAATGAATCCCAAAAAACTGGGAAAATTATCTAACTAGGAAATAGCCACAACTGTGGAGTTTGAATTTTTGCAAATCAGATGTTTAAGCCTCATTCTCTGTAGGTGGCTCTTTCGCTGTCCTTTACTTAAAGGAACACTATAGTGTTAGGAATACAAATATTCCTAACTCTATAGAGCCCTAGTCACCTTAACGATGACTAGAGCCCCATTCTGCAGCGAATAAATGGGTGGCATACCTTAATCCAGTGCCGGGCTCCCTCAGCACTGGTGACCTCTCCTCCTCCATCGACGTCAGCTTCTGAGTGGAGCCGAATGCGCCTGCGCGGCCAGAGGAAAGCATTCAAACCCGCCCAAAGGAAAGCATTACTCAATGCTTTCCTATGGGGATATTTTTTACGCTGGAGGTCCGTGAGGACGTCCAGCGTGAAATAAGTGCGATTTACTCAGTGTAAATCGCGGAAGCGCCTCTAGTGGTTGTTAGGGAGACAGCCACTAGAGGCTGGATTAAACCTGCAGTGTAAACATATGCTATGTTCATATGCAACTGCTATGTTTTCAGCTGCAGGGTTAAAACTAGGGGGACCTGGGACACTGCAGGGTTAAGGGACCTGCGACACTGCACCCAGACCACTTCATTGAGCTGAAGTGGTCCTTTAATAGAGCTTTGCCTTGTTTTAAAAGGGAGCTGTACTAAAAAGAATGGCCAGCATCACTGGTTTATTTCTACACCAGCAAGATCACAGTGATATATTAAAGTTCACATAGAGCCTTTTTCAAACCTAGAGATGTGAGAAAGTAGTTGACTGAGCTGAAACATCACCTTGATGTTGATGGTTTGGAAATAAACAAGCTAAAAGTGAATATCTGCATTGTGAAGATATTGTGCATTCTGGCACCTAGCACTCAGACCTAATCAGTCTTTAGGTAAACACATCTTTGACTGTTTGCCAGAGTTGGTATCCATGTTAACTGTGCCTCACTCTACAGAACTGGTTCGATACAGAGCATATCACTATTTGCTTTTTATGAGTTGGACAGGTACTCAGCTTTAATTCGCATGGACAAACACGACAGACATTTTAGTATCAGTACTCCAATTTCTTCCTTAACTCTTAAGGCTTTGGTCAGGAGCACATTTCCCGTTTGCACCATTATAATTCCTCAGATCTATTGTGGTCTATTAAATATGTTAATAAACTGCTGCAGGATCAACCATTATAATTCCTCAGATCTATTGTGGTCTATTAAAGATGTTAATAAACTGCTGCAGGATCATCCTTCCTCTTTCTCATTACACAGCAGGGAAATTGAGTTGGAAGATGTTTTCATTTGCATTTCTGGCACATTTAAATTCCGTTCTGGATGTATGGATAATGTAGTCTAGTGGCATCTCTCGCAGGTCCACTGACTATCCATAACCCTGAAAGAAGTAACAATAGGTGCAGCTGATATTTTTGGGAACACATATTTAAAGGCCATTCTATGCACCAAAATTACTTCATGTTATCAAAGGCATTTTGGGAAATAGCTTCTGCTCCAGTTACTTTGCAAATGAACAATGTTGTTTCTGAGAGGAACGTCAGTGTTTTCTTTGCAGGGGTAATCTGCCCCTAATAGCTGGCTGTCATGCTGATAGCCACTAGAGGTGCTGCCATTAACTCTTTCAGTCAGATGGTCTCTTTCCATCAAATTGTCGCACATGCACAATAGCCTCTCAATGCTTTCCTATCGACATTGGTTATGTCAGCCAAAGAGGCGGAGCTTCACTGAGGAGACCTGTGAGAAAGAAAAGGTAAGTAAAATAACCTTTTTTAAACCTGGTAGTGCTGGTCCGGTAACCTGAACGACTAGGACACTATAGCGTTAGGCTAGGCTGTTTGTCAGCCGAGGCAGCTTCTCTATGATAAGCATTTGAATGGACCTGACAAGGGATGGAGTGATGTTAGATGGGGCGTGGAGACCAGGATGGCAAGCCTCCATTTGGCATTGGATTCCAGGTTGGTTTTATAGTATTCATAAAGTGTTTTACTGCAAATCGGGAGGGGGAGGAAATGTAGTGAATGATACCCAATGGCATAGTTTAGTGAATAACCTTACAAAGGTTAATATATTTGACGGTGTCTCAGTACTATTTGATACTGACAGCATACTGCCAAGGTAGCAATAAAGTCCAGAAAAATCAAATTACGGAAAATAGTAAATAAATTTCGACCAATATATTTGCTTGCATAATGTATAGATTTTAAACACTTTTAATGTTGTTGTGTGGTTTTTTTTTTTTTATTTTTATTTTTTTATTTATTTATTTTTTGCAGGGATGGTCTTAAGCTTGAGACTCAAATTCTTGGTGGAAAACCAAAGCTAATTTTGGCTTCATATGGTATGTTGTTGATTACTAATTAATATTTTTTATAAACTTTTCTATTTGTTTATAAATAATATATTCCATTTTTTTTTTTTTTCCCTGACTTTCATCTGTAACGTTGCTTCATTACATTTTCTTTTTCTGCTGTCCTTGCTTATATTTTTAGCAGTAACATCCTGGCTCTTTTCTCATTATTATTGGCTAATTGTGTGCAGTTTTAAAAACTACTTCTAAATTGTTTTCTCACTAGCCTTACTATACAGCAGGCAGAATATAGTTGCACTTAGTAATGAAACTTTAAATAAAAGAGCAAGAGTGATTTAGGTGTTTTCAAGAGGGAAATAGTAAATTGCATCACTCATACTCACCAGCAGTCCTAGATCTGGTAAAACCGTCCTGATTTCAGAATCCTGTCCTGCTATCCTTGGTTGATTCTCCTTGGGCACTTTAGCTTAAAAGGAAACTCCACTGCCCAAAAATAGAAATAAAAAAAACCCACAACCAGTGTTTAGATTAGAAGATGTACTCCCAGTGTAAATATTGATCCATTTAATAATGCATTATTTAATTGAGGGTATATCGAAAAGCAACTTGCAAAAGCTTTTTGTCTCTTTTCTGAAACCTTTGTAAGCCATTCTCTTCTAACCCAGTCCAAAGTTTCTGTGGCTGTCCAATCACAGACTTCCCAGTACAGCTCAATGAGAAGTCGTTGCAAGGCAGTCACTCTTAGCAATTGCTTGCCTCTTGAATTTAGCTTAACTGAACTAAACTACCAAGAAGTAACAGGACTGGTTCTCTGATATGTAGGGGAATGTAACAAGTTTAAAGGACAAATATAGTCACACAGACCACTTCAGCTCAATGAAGTGGTCTGGGTGCCAGGTTCCCCTAGTTTTAACCCTGCAGCATTGAGGGTTAATCCAGCCTTTAGTGGCTGTCTCCCTGACAGCCACTAAATGTGCTTCTGCGATCTTCAATGCGAAAATTGCATTGAGGACACACTGGCCGTGCATGTGCATTTGGAGCTGACGGCAGGAGGAGGAGAGGTCACCAGCGCCAACCCCTTCAGCCCAGCGGGAGGGGGGGACCTAATAACCCTATAGTGCCAGGAAAATGAGGTCGTTTTCCTGGCACTATAGTGCTCCTTTTAAGTTATAATTTCTCTTGAAATTTGCACTTTTTGTAAAATAAGAAAAATATACATTTGAGCAAATTTAGCTTTTTTTCTTTTTTTTTATCTGGCTGAGCAACATTATAGGAGCAGATGATATTGTTATCTGACCAACTGTTGCTCAACCTAACTTCAGGTACAGAGAGCAATCACAACATTGCTACAAAATTAGTAAGGTTGATGAAAACCATTGTTGAGGAATGGCTAGAACCACTGAATTTTGTTTTCTTTAGAAAAAAAGGTACATTAAAGGTGAAGTTAGAGTACTATACATGTTCATTAGTAGGAATCTACAGCAGACGAGGGGTCACCAATTGAGACTAGAAGAAAGGCATTTTCCCTTACAGCAGAGAAACGGGTTCTTTACAGTAAGAACAATAAAGATGTCGAATTCTCCACCTAAAGAGGTTGATAAGGAGGAAAAAAAAGGCTTGGATACTTTTTTGCTCAAACAGAATATTCAAGGATATAGAGCCAAGAAGACCTTTACCCCCTTTTTGTGGCATAATTGGAAATGTCTAAAAAAAAAAAAAAAAAAAAATTTAATTTTTTATTTTTTGGATCAATAGCATAAAATAATGGGTGTCAAGGTTGAACTTGATGGACTTTGTTGTTGTTGTTTTTTTTTTTTTTTTTTTTTTTTTTTTTTTTAAACCTAGACAAATGTGTAACTGTAGAGGAGCCAGGGAGCAGTGCCAGGCTTATCCCAGGTAGAACGTCAAACTGTTATAAACCCATTTCACTGCATGCTTTAGAGATTATTGTAATTGGAGTGTAATATACAGTTACATTCCCTCCAGATACTGCAGCTCCAGAAAAAAAAAACATGATTGAGTTGTTTTGAGTGGAAGTCCCTTTACAAATATATATTAAAAAAAAATTAATGTTACGGTGTTTCGTAATTAACAGATTGTTGATCCGAGAATAAATCAAATTGGCACTTTGAAATCATAAAGACTGTATGTTTATTCTTTACTTTGATCAACAACAGCAAAGTAAATGTGTAGAAGTTGTTCCTTATTTGCCAACCTGTATAATATGAATTTCTTTTTTTTTTTAGGTGTTCAGAAGAACAGTAAACAGGTGAGGTTTTGTTTTTGTTTTTTTTCATTTTAGACCAACATACATATTGTATTACTGGGTCATCTTGCTATAAACAATCAAATGTTGTACTAAAAGCATTTACTTATTATCAGGTTGGTCACAGTACAAGAATACAAAAATCCACACAGAGAATTAAACCAACTGGGCAGATCCTCAAATCTGTCCAGAGCAATAATGTCAAAACAGAGCAGCCAAGGCGCGAAGCTCGACTGGAGACCGGGCATGTGCTGACTGCCAAACCTCCTGCTAACGTGTTAAAGGAACTTGAAAACAAACACCACCCTACTGATCAAAATGTGCAGCAGGTCAAACAAGATCTGGTGAAAACAAAGCCTGCACCTAAACAGACTCTGGTGTCACAGATATCAAAGCAGAGGCCACAACTGAAGAAAACTATTACTGCCGAGGAGCTGAGGGAGAGCCTGGTGTGCCTGACAAAGGAACAGTTCCAGCAGATCTTGCAGACCATTAATCAAGGGAACAAAGACATATCTCAAGAACCTCTAAGAGATGAAGGTGAGAAAGCTCCCTTAAAATAATCACTTCAGATGCTTCATTTAAAGGGACACTGTAGGCACCCAGACCACTTCAGTTCATTGAAGTGGTCTTAGTGCCATCTCCCATCACCCTTAACCCTGCAGTGGTAATTATTGCAGTTTTTATAAATTGTACATGTGCTAGCTAGTGCATAGAAATAATTTCAAATTTTGTTCCTACATGTTTACATCCTCTGCAAAGTTGCAGAACTCTTTAAGCATTACAGTTGGATAACAATTCAATAGAGGAGCCCATTTTTAAATGTATTCATCTCAAGTACTCTGCCGTAGGAAGATGTTCCTAGAAAAGATGAGTTCTATGGCTGTGATTGAAAACTTGAAAATCTGAAATTGAGTGCTATTACAAATAGTGCAAAACACACCAAAAACCCACCTTGGACATCTTCCACAATAATGTCACATAGGAGGTTTGCTTAAAAACAACAGAACAGACAAATTCTGGTGCATAAAAAAAAAAATAGATACCAGAAATGCCAAATGAACCACTCACATGGGTTTGCTCTAATAAGCTAGCTCACCCGTTATATGCATTTTGCACCATTTAGGTTGGTGCTCCCCTCAATGGTACCTATAAGATATGATTTCTTTCTTCATCTTCTATCCTATATGCTTGCAAAAGAAACTATGGTAGCATAACACCATTAAACAAATCAAATACATTTTCACAAATATTTAAATATTGCACAAATTGTGCACACCAGCGACAGCTGCATCACAAAACTCCTCCTTCACAATTAAAAATTGAGACACCATGTAGTATTAAATCCAGCAAGGCATTATTCAGATAAAATCATGCAGATACACATTTCACCCAGTCAATCCTTATGCTGAAATGCTGCAGTGTGCCACTTTGGTCAGCCTGGAGTAGACTCAAATGGAATGAGGTATTACATATTGTTGGTAAAAGCCAAACTGTATTAATTTAACTACTGCTTAGTTAAAGGGACACTGTATCTGCTTTATCTTATTGAACAGGCTTTGGGTCTGGAGTCCCCTGGTGCTATCTTTTCATTCAGCGTTACAGACAACACAACAGTTTTTTTTTTTTTTTTTTTTATGTTTTAATACATCCCCTCAATGCTGCTTGGGCTAATTAGGAAGTAGATTTGATTGGTTGAGAGTGTCAGCTGACTGCTTTTAGAATACCAGAGCATCCATTGCTACAGAGTAGTGTGTAACAGTGCCATCTTTACAGAATTATAGGCCCCCGGGCAAAGCAGTGCATTGGGACCCTGCCAACACAACCACTCAGGAATAAAAATTTAAATATCGATAAAATAAAGTTTGTATTTATTGGTAACTTTAAACAAATTTGGACAATATAACATGAGCCTTGAAGTTGAAAAACAAGAAATATAATGTAAAAGTGGTACTTCGTTGGTAAGTCATACAGACAGAGATGGCACAGTATGAAATTACTATGAATTATTTATTATTAATCAAGTGTTCAACACTTGAAGTCAATGGTCTTCCGGTTGTAATTTGCCATACACATGATTGAAAGCCAATAGGGCCCCCAGGTAGCTGCCCAGAGTGCCTATGTCTTATGGTGGCTCTAGCCAGGCTTATTTTGTGTTAAACCGCTCAAATGGTTTAACACTAAATGGAGCGTCAGTGCCAGGGGACTCCAGGCACTATAACCAATTTACAGACATGAAATGGTGAAATAGCTATAGTGACTATAGTGCCACTTTAATTCTAAATTCATGATTGTTTTTTCTTTACATTGAAGATGCTGTAAATAAAGAGACTGTAGATGAAAACAATGAAGACCTTGTGAAGACTGAAGATGAGAATACATCTTCATTACATGAGCATACAAAAGAGAAGACAACAGATGTGTATGTTTCTAGGTTTTTTTTTTTTTTCATATAATTTTACAAGATTAGTAGATAATCTTTGAAATTAGATGGTCAAAAACTGAAGGCAGGCAGATGGCCAGTAGGTTCGTATCTGTTGATGATCTTGGTTTCCTATTTTTATTTATTTTCTTTGTTGCCTCCTTAAATCTCTGCAGTAAAGGAGGAGTAAAATAAAAACGTGTATTAGCTTCTCGCCACAGATTGTAAAAAGACTTATTGCGAGCACTGCACCAAGCAGAATAACTTTGGCTACATAAGACCAAAATGGCGACCATGTATGCGATGTGGGATATTAAAGACCATGGATTAGTTCCTGGCGCTCCATCTGCCATGGGCCCACAGTGCTGTATTCTCACGCATATGCCAAAGTACAGGACTAACATTTATGGAGGATGATTTTATCTTTATGATATACTCCGTTTTGGGTTAGGGGTGTGGGATTGTGACGGAGCTGCGTTAAACACACCGGATTTGGGAATTAATTTTTTGATAAGCTTGTATCCATAAATGTGTTTGGCTTGGCAGTGTACGCTAATCAGAATCCATGTCATACTATTGGGATCTGACAAGAGCCAGATGAATATATTAACTCAGAGAGAGAGAGCGCGCGCAATCTTGGTGGATGAAAAGTCTATGGAAAACAGGATGCACCTAAATAGGTCAACTAAGCATAAAGGAGAAATCAGTAAGATATAAAAGCAACAGGCAGATTGGAATTAAACTAGAACGTAAAAAATTTATATAGTTCCAGTGTTTTTATGATTGCCTTATATCTTATGCGGTTGAATCCATCATCATAGGGTGCATATGCTAAAGAATGAAAACAGAAAGGGAATACTGATGGTGTACTATGTTATCTACCGAGTGGAAATCCAACAACATAAAGTGCGTAAATGCCCACTCACATGTATTAGAACTATCATACAAGCTCTGGTAGTGACAGAGTGTAGTTGTACAATCCCCACCAATGGATATGAATGAAGGTATGTTCTCTCCCATGGGTCACAATGAAACCTGTAAAGACAAAACCAATTTCCAATAGTGCAGTATGGTTAACATAAAGGGACTATAGTGCTAAAACGTAGCACTCACAGGCATAGAGTGTTTTAATTTTTATTTTATTTTTTTAAACTAAAGCTCAAATTTTGCTAGCATAAGGCAGTACTATCTTCACCTGTAGATATGGCTGGTTAAGATTGTTTAGTGCAATTAAAGCGATAAATTTTAACTTGTACTTCATAAATATATCTCATTATGCCAGTTACACCTCTTTCCACTTGATAAATCCTCCAATGCAGGTGAAACTCTTTGTGGACTATTGTTTCTGTTTTTAACTTATCTTGAATAAACTGGACCAGACTAACTTTTTTTTTTTTTGGTATCTTTTTATATTTTATATATATATATATATATATATATATATATAATATATTCTCTATCTTTTTATTTTAACTTGATCTGTTCTTTGCATAACCTTAAGGACAACGAATTGGATGCTTCCATTTCATCCACAGTGGGGATTGTACCACCCGTGCTGTCAAAATAGAGCAATTGTACTGCTCCAAAAAGAAACTTGAAGAATTTGTGAACCAGCCATATCTGAAACCAGCCTTATACGTGCAAGATTTGAGTTTTAGTAAAAGTTCTACGCTTGTGAGTGTAAAAAAACTTTTTTTTTTTTTAAAAGCACTATAGTCCCTTTGCTTGTTAACTATACTGCACCATTGGCTATTGTTTTTGTCTTTTACGTATTTCACTGTGACCCACAGGACGGAACATGCCTTCATCCATATCCATTAGTGGGGATTGTACCACTTCTAGTGTCCCTACCAGAGCTTATATGATAGCTCTACTACATGTGAGTAGGCACACCATCAGTATCCTCTTTTGTTTTCTTTCTTTTGTATATACACCTTATATGAGAGGATTCAATCCGATAAGATTTTAGGTCATCATAAGGACACTGGGACTATATATAAACTTTTTGTTTTTTACTTTACATCTTATTTCCAGTCTGCCTGTTGGTTGAATATCTTATTGAATTGTGTTTTATGCTTATTTGACTTCTTTAGGCACAACCTGTTTTCCTGTTTCTTTTCATGCCATTTCATTTTGTTGGAACATATACCCAGTGTGTGCTGTTTTTTGGTATATTGGCTTTAGAACTTTTCAGCGCTTATCCATAACCTGTAAACCTTGGTGTACAGTTGTTAACTAACATAACTTTCTTAAATATCCTAGTCATTCTTTATCATACAAAACATTTTTATTTTTTTTATTTTTTTATCCTTTTGTTTATTTTAGGCAAATTGTGAGACAGCCAGCCGATCTGTTTAGCACGTTAGGAGAACAGGAGAGAGATCGTAGTCTTCAAGAAAAAAAAAAAGAACAATGGAGAAAAGAGCTTGGTGTGTATATTGTTTTGCTCCAATATCTACAGTCAGCTGCCTCCGTAAATAGGAAATGCCATGTTGTAGTTTTTAGGGCCTTTTCTTTTTACATCAGTTGATGTAAAAGTCATTCTGCCTTAGCAGCGGAACCCTAACCCTTTACAAAGGCATTGCAGATGCTCAAAAATATTGTCGAAATTGATTTTGTTTTTGTTAAAAGTAACCATTTTCTATGTCAATGCTTGTATCCTAAAGATGAACAAATTGCTTTAAAGAAACAACGAAGAGCAGATAAACCGGATTGGCCAGGTACCAGACAGCATATTAATGCTGCAAATGAGAAGCCACGAACATCTGACCAACCAAAGGTAAACATAGTCCTTCGTATTGTGAACCTAGTTTCTCTAGTGTTAAACCAGTTTTACGTTTTGTATTTCCAACACAGTCAACTCTGTTTATCTTTTTGAAAACTTTAAAATATATATTTCTTGGTTCCATAATTTTGATCAATCTTTGTACAAAATAGTTTTACGTCTATCTGCCAATAATTACCATATTATATCCACACTGCAGCTTTCTTTTCTGTATGCAGTTCCAATCTCCCAAACTCTGGCTGTAATTCTTATCTTGCTTTCTTTGTCATCCTCACAAGAAACCGTTTTTGCATTGTGTGAAATGTAATTAGTTAATAGATGATTTTTCTAACTTTCCATTTATACTTTTGCAGCAATTTTATCATATTAAAAACAATAATCGGTTCACAACTGACATTTAAACTTTCTTGTTAGCAGTTGTTAGAATACACGCTGGTTTCCAGATCATTTCTGATTACACAGTAAGACACACAATATTCTAAATTAATGTATGGCAATCTTCCACATGCAGGCTACAGATCCCAGTGTTGCTGGAACACCATTGCAAAACAATCCAATTCCTGCAACATCCACGGGTACTGACACAAGCAACTCTACACCCTATGATTTGAATGGTCCCAGCGGAAGGGCTTCTTCCAGTTTCAGCTCTCCTGACCTTCCTGCAGCTATCCGGAGTGCTTTTATTGTAGGGGTAAGATAATGCTTTAAGTCAGCTGATATTCAAAATAAACTATTGGGGCGATCTCTTTTACAAAGCTAGAATGCTTAAATATTGTTTGTCACCAGTACCCTTATACCCCTCTCATCTCCCTAGTTAGTTACTTTTCTTGTCCCACTTTTAGCCCAAAAGAGGCTTTCTTTATTTCCTAATAATAATCTAAACCTGGAAATGTCAACAAGCCCATATAAGCAAGGTTTTTGTTTTCAATAACTTCATTTTGCTCCCAAGATATAGCTTCTCAAACTTTTTCCTACATATGCTATCAAAGAATGTTAACCACCTTACTTATGAATTGGCAGAAATTTAAAAATCCCCCAATGTAAAACATGGCAGGTTTTTTTTTTTTTTTTTTGTCTACTAGACAGCCACTAGTGGTACTTCCGTGAGTTTACCCAACTCTGGGTCCCTTTAAATGACAGTAGACCTCATTGAATTGTATATTTTCTTTTCTTTCGTATTTTGATAAGCAGAGAGTTGACTTTTTAGTGATTGGATTCTTTACCAATTTTTGTTTTTTTTGTCAATCAATATTTTATTGAAGTATTATGAGGTTAGACAAAAGAATATAAACAATCACAACTGAATACAACACACATTACAATTGTATATACAACAGTAAGGCGCCATCTTTTGTTTCATTATAGAAAGGTGTAGGAAGTAATAGGGATAACATGATCATGGGTATTCTGATTAGTAAAAATCAGCATAAAGACGTACTTGGCTAACTACCAAGTCAGGAATGTTAAGAGTGTCACTATGTACTGTATTACTCCGTGAAAATATTATGAGGATAATCAGTTAACTAGTAGCAGGGCTAAACTAGCAGAAAGATTACTTGGGCATAGAATTGTGCCTGTTGAATAAGCCATTTTCGGGAACACAGTTTAGTGGACAGAGCCCAAGATGCAGATAAATGCTGAAGGCAAAGAACCAAGTTCGCAGTACCTAAGGGTCAGACGAAGAGAATAGTCAAGGAAGCCAAAGGTCAGAACAGGCGGCACAGGTTTAGAAGCGATGATACAGGCAAGGGTCAAAATCAGGAACAGGATCAGGATACAACAGGAGAGTCTCTGAAGGTCTTTACACAATCAGGAGCACAGTACAACAGAGTGAAGGGTGTGTGCGACTTAAATGGAGGTCGTCTTGTTAATTGAGGTTCCACCGTGGTCTCCACCTCCTGTACCTTTAAAAGGCTATGTGTCTGCGCGCACGCCCTTTTGATTCTTCTGAAGTTTTACTTTCTGTGTGGTCGCACGTGGAAGCAGTGGTGTTCTCGTGAACAGACTTCTATTCTTGCTGTATACAAAAAATGTGTATCTATAGTTCCAGTGTCCTTATGTACAAACGTAGTTCTCTCTGCAGTATAGGTGAGTAGCGTTCGCATGAACAGAGGTGACGTTCGTACACATGGAGTTGTTCCTTCTGCAACGGTTAAGTGGCGTTTGTGCAACCAGAGGTGCTGTTCACATGAACGTAAGCAGTCGGCGTGGGTGACTGAACCAACCGCGCTGCCTGGGGGGGTCGCGCTCCGACACTGCATCCTTGTGGAGTGTGAGAGGCGCGGCGTGGGAGCTCTCGAGGTAGGTGAGTGTGGGAGCAAAGTCCTGATGGCCATGTTGCATAAGGCGAGCAAATATTCACCAGAAAGGCAAGTGAGTTATATGGGCAAGATTCCCATGTTTGGAACAAAAAGAAAACCTATATAAAAGCATGCATATAGTACCAACAAATGGAATCCCACATCTGGTGAGTCAGACCCCCTCTCCCCCCCCCCACCCCACCAAGTAATAAATTAACCACGACTCATGGTACACGGAACGCTCTCTGGAGCGTTAGGTTGGAGGGGAGCAGAACAAATCTGCCTGGGGACATCGACTATGTGGTTGAGAGTGAGCATCTCTCCAAGATTGTTGACGGTGTCCTGAATGAGTATCCCTCTTGGCTCTAGGCAAAGGTAGGACACGATACAACGTGACTCTCCCAGAGAAATTCCCTGAGGTATTAAGGACAAGTTACCGCTGGTTAAGATGTTGCCAAAACTTGAGCCATAGTGTATCGAATGCCTCAAGGATGGCCACTCTCTGCTGACCCTGTGTATGCTTTACTATGGGTTGTGAGGACTCAGAGAAAGCCGCCAGCTTAGGTGAGGAGCACTGACGCCAAATGGTAGTGGATTGAACCCACGATAGCTCCTACTAAGAAGGACCTCCCTATGAGAACCAGGATAATCTCCGCTGGTCCAAAAGGGAAACAGGGCCCTTCAGTGATGCACAGGCCAAACCACGCAGGAGATCGGCTATCTCTCCCGTCCTCAGTGCATGCAGGAGACGCAGGCTTTCCACAAAAATACTGAACGAGAGCATCTGGGACTGCAGAAACAGGTAAGTATGTGATAAGGTTGCAGCGCTAGCCTAAATACATTATAGCCCCTGAAAGTGGAACGTTTACAAGGAGCTCTCGAAATACATGTCTGGTCTTGCTCTACTTAATGAGACACTATAGTCACCAGAACAACTACAGATTATTGTATTTGTTGTAGTGAATAGAATCATTCCCTTCAGACTTTTTGCAGTAAACACTGTCTTTTCAGAGAAAATTCTAGTGATAACTCCACTGGCCATTCCTCAGATGGCTGCTAGAGGTGCTTCCTAGGGCAGTGCTGCACACTGTACAGCACTGTCATTCAGTGTCTCACCCTCTGCATGCAGACACTGAACTTTCCTCATAGAGATGCATTGATTCAATACATTTCTATGAGGAAATGCTGATTGGCCAGGGCTGTGTTTGCCTTGTGCTGGCTCTGCCCCTGATCTGTCTCATTGACCGTCTCAGCCAATACTATGGGAAAGCACTGTGATTGGCTCAGAACAACATTCTGATGTCAGTCAAGCAGGCAGACCAGAGACAGAGCCAACAGCTGCAGACTTGAATACAAGTAAGATTTTACTATACATAGAGAGGCAAGGGGGCAGGAAGGCTAGATGGTTGTTTTAACACTGTAGGGTCTGGAATACATATTTGTGTTCCTGACCCTATAGTGTTCATTTAAGCTCACCTGTCTTTCCCCACATAAATTTTCTCATACCTTAGATTAGAGCAGCTTTCTTCCTGAATGCGTTGTAGTGTGTTTGTATGTAAAGCCTCAGTTTTTGTTTTTTACCTGTGAAGAGAATGCTGGTCTCTTTTGGGAAAGAGTCAAGGGTTTGCAAAGGCTTTTGCTTTTGCAATCTCTTTCTAAGATATACCTCCAATAAATGCATGAATGAAAAATGCGTTCATGCATTCATTGGGGGTATATCTACTAAATGATTTTAACTTTGAATTTATTTTTAATCATTTTACCTGTGGTGTGGTCCTTTTTAAGCCACTTGCAGTGCTATTTTCCAAGACTCTGTGAAGTAGATCCAGTGTCAGGACATATAGTTGTAATCAAAACTATTCAACCCTCATTGAAAATCAGGTTTATTGTCACAATTTACAGACTTTCCGCTGTTTGCAATAAACAAATCCAACAAAAGCAATTGAAATAGCTCCACACAACGAATGCTTCAAGTGGTTTCCCCAAATTCAACTGAAAATGCAACGTACAATGACTTTTCCAGTCTCAACCCCTTTCATGGCAAAGGGATACGCTAAGCATCAAAACAGCTTTTGTTAGTGATGTGGTTTTGGTGTAGAAATCCTGTTCCTGCAGCTAGTCTTATTGCTGAATTATCTGCCATTTAGGAGTTTAATCACTTTATTTATGCAGCCCTAGCCACACCTCATTTGGCTGTGACTAACACAGTCTCCTTGCATACTTCCTTTATTGCACAGTCTATGTAATAAAGAACTGCCTGCTCTGGTAATTCCTTGCAGTAGCCTCCTGTGTGTAATTAAAGTTCAATTAAGAAAGCAGGGAATACAAATTTCTAAAGTAACATTGTGCTGTGGCTTGGTCTACAAAAAAAAAACCAAAACTGATGTAACAACTAAAAAGCAGAAAACTGAACATAAAGACTGCAGGGGTATGATCTGTACACATAAACTGCTTTATTGATCTAAAGTTTTTTTGGTTTTTTTTTTAGTGCTTAGAGTTTAAGTTTTTAAAGGGGAGCTGTGACGTCCCAGGATCCAGGATTTGTAATGTTTGTAGCTTAAAAAAAAAAAAAAGGGCAAGATATCCGTTACGTAAAAATATCAATGATTTTATGGGTGCTAATATTTTGTGTTTTTAGGAAGCTGCTCCAATGGATCATCCTTTCAGTGCAACCAAACGCCAGCAGCAGAAGAAGTGGCTGGATGAGCTGAACAAACAAAGAATGGAAGATGTGCAACGCAAAATGAAGGAAAAACAAAGGTTTTTAGAGGTAAATAGAATGCCTGTCCATAATTTGTTTTATTTCCTTTACAAGATTGCAGTGGTTAAAGCACAGTGGGGTTTGGTCACTAATACCAGACCTTTAAAACATGTAGTCTGTTATCATTCTATGACACTAATGGCTAACTTTCCAATGCCTTTGGGGGTTTTAAATTTTATAGGCACACTAGCCACCAAAACAACTTTTACTTAATGAAGCAGTTTTAGTGTATAGATCATATAACTATAGTCCTACTACTCAATTCTCTGCCATTTTGGAGTTAAATCACTTTGTTTATGCACCCCTAGGCACACATCCCTGCATGTGACTGACACAACCTTCCTAAATACTTCCTGTAAAGAGTCATCTAATGTTTACACTTTATTGCAATTTCTGTTTAGTTTAGAATTCATGCTCTGTTAATAGGTTGCTAGACCCTTCAGTAGCTTCTTGTGTGTGCTAAAGTTGGTTTAAAATTCCCATTATGCACGGTTAGCTTCATCATTATAAGAATCTATGTTCACAAAACATAGGGTACCATCATTTATCTTAAAGGGAACCTGTTGTCCCAAAAAGAACAATCGTTATTTCGAGACTATAAGTTCCCTTCTGTCTACTCCCTTTGTCCATCCCTCATTGATAATAAAAATATAAGTAAAATAAAGATTACTCGCCTTCTTTCCAGCCCTAGGACTATTAGGGGTTGCAACCCTTAGCTCTGCCTCTGGTGTTGTCTGCATCTCTTAGAGAAGCAGTGGATTAGAACTGGGCATGAGTGGCCAAACGCTGTGCTCCTCCAATCAAATGATGCTGTCCGTAGCATTTGCTTTCCAGACCTATTTTTACTTCATTTGGAGGTGGAAGCGGTCAGGAAACAGCCACTAGAGATATGTATAACTTTGCAATGTAAACAATGTTATATTACAGGGTTACAAATTACAGGACAACTGCTCCCAAACCTCTTTATCTAAATGATATTGTCCATATAAATCTTCTGTGAAGGCAGAACAAAAATCACGGTTTTCTGTCTCATTCTCTGTAGGTCATAAACCCTTTCTCATGGGACTTCCGAAAATAAAATCCATTTGTCTTATTTATCTTTAATTTTCCTATTATAAACAATAAATTGCTGATGTAACCACATGAAGCCTATCCACATCAAATGTTGTTTAACTGTTATGACATCATGTTCTCTTAAGTTCACCATGATTCTGCTCACTATAGACTGAAGAACATGACCTGTGGGCAATGCATTTTGACTCCTTTAAGAAGCCAATTGACCATCGTCCTATTACAAGAATACCACCATCTGCAAATTTTTTGCTCTCTCCAGAGATAGCAGACTCTTCACCGGTGGAGCTATCTCCATCTCCAGTGCCGAGCTATCTATACCATGCAGAATCCGGCATGCAGAAATCTGTAGATGAAGATAATGCCCAGGATCACAAAACAGGGTAAGTTTATCGTTTTATAAGGCACAACTCTGAAATTCAGATTTATAAAAGTAAATGGCTTTTAAAGGGATACTATAGACATCAAAACAAATTCAGCTTAATGAAACAGCTTGGGTACCCCTACAGTCTTAATGCTTAAATCTCTGCTTAATGTTTCTCTTTATGCAGCCCTAGCTACACCTTGCCTGGCTGTGACTCCTGCAGCCTGTATGAAAAAATGTTTCCTTTTCAATCAGATGTTAACTTGGTTTAGAAGTTTTCAATAAGAAATTATAGATTAAATCTACTGTGCAATACAGGAACCTAAAATAACTAGGCTCCTTTTCAGGAAGTGTTTAGGAATGCTGTGCAAGCCACACGCAGGGAGTTGTAACTAGGGCTGTAAAAACAAACTGATGTATATCCTAAATGACAGAGGACTGAGCATTGAGACTGCAAGGGGCTAAAGTTGCTTTGGTTCATATAATGTCTCTTTCAAGACAAGATCAATAAAGCAGGCTAAGTGTATTTGGCATCCTTTTCAGTTGGGGCAGTCTTACATAGTGCTCTAGGAACCAGCTTTCAAACCTTAAAAGTGCAGGCGAAACAAATTGCTAGATACTGCATGGTGATTATACATTTCTCAAATAAATGTCTTTTAGCTTGACTTTCTGGAGATTTGTGTTCATATTTGGAGACCGTAAACCTCAGCAGGCTATAAAGGTCATTCAACATTGGCAAATGTAATTGAACTTCTATTTAACTATGGTCAAACCTTAGCCTGTTGTGAAGCTCCTGCTTTTTCTCCTAGAAAGACTGATAAGAATAGGAGTGCAGATTGTACTGTGTTTTAAAATACTGTTTTACTGGGCATTACTGTATTAAAACAAATTTAAAATATAAGATTTTGCTGCTGCTATTTTGTAATTAAAGGAAAACTCTAGACACCTAAAACACATTAACACGCTAAAGTGCTTTAGGTGTTATTTGCCTATCCCTACAGCAGGGATCAAATTTTCAAGTTCTGATCTGCTAGCCTGTCCTAAAAATCGCCTCCTCAAAACACATAGGAACAGCATTTGGTTTCAATAAATCTTGACAGCATGAAGTGCTGGTGTGTTGTGTAAGTGCGTTTTATAAATGTGGGGATGTATTTGTATGTAGTGTCTGTGTGAATGCAGGGGTGCACATTTATCACATCCCTTCTCCTCATCCATGTCCACCACTGTTCTCCCCTTTTTATATGCCTTTTCCTCATCCTACGCCACATCCATGCCCCGTCTTCTGCCCATCTATGCCAAATTAACCTGCCCATCCATACCGTTTTGTATGCCCCTTTTTTACTTTTCTATTTTCCTACTTCTGATATTTCCAGGTTTTCTTTTTTCCTCTGAGGTGCCCTCCTGTTTCTTGTTGGAGCAGAGAGCCCTCATCCCTGTTACCCATTAGTGCGAGGGATCATATATTTAAATTATTTATTTACTTTTTGGGTGGGTTAATTGAAATGTCTCTGTAATGTTCATGCAAAGCATTTCTCACTTACTATTTTGTTAGGTATCTTCGTACTATGACTGCCTTATTAGATCCTGTGCAGATTGAAGAAAGAGAACGAAAAAGACTTAAACAGATTGAACATCAGGTAACCTGAAGCCCAAATTATAGGTTATTAGGCACTTATGGAAACCCAGCTAGACCATGCACAAATTTGGTTATATCCTGCATCCTACCAACAATAGATTACATAATCTCTTACACCTGCATCTTGCACAAGCATACACTTTAAAATGACCCTTTGCATTTTTAGAATGAAAATGTATCAAAGCACTGACATGACAGTTCTTTTTGTCAAGGGCTCAAATTGGCAAGACTTTATAATTAAATTACCAATCAACTGATTCACATGCATTTAATTGACATAAAATATGTTTTAATTGTGAATGGGGGATATATGTATGCTTCCCTTATGCCAGAGCATTTTCAAAAATTACACAGTATCTAGTGAGGGGATAAAATAGCATGTATTTATTATTTTGTTGTATGAATCCCCTTCGCTATGAAATACATCAACGGCTTCCATCATTCATAGGCTCTTCATTTATAGATATTTATTTTCATTTACTATATAGTTACATCTCCATTTATTTCTAGCACCAGTGATAAAATAAGAAACCTTTTGAGGTTCAATAGAGTTATAGCAGTTTTAATGAAAAAGAGGACCTATATTAGCCAGCAGAGGACGGTGTGGGTGAATTTAGAGTTCGTAGGCTTGTATTTGCTAATCTACTTCCCATTAAATGTGTGTCCCCTTATAAAGCTGAATACAAGGCTGGTGCTCTCAGTCCCATGAGTAATAATAGCTTTTCCTGGTCCTGGTTATAAAGGTTATATTCAAAAAATGATTTATTAAACATGTATCGTATAATGGTACAGCAAATAATGGGCTAATGTACTGAACTGAATAAAATAATCTTACCTATTATATCCAAATGTGGTTAATTATTTTTCTTTATCTCGTTTTCTTTCTTTTTTTTATTTATTTTTTTCCTTCTTTCTTTGCTTACTAGAAAGCCATAACAGCACAGGTTGAGGAAAAACGGAGGCAAAAACAGTTAGAGGAACAGCAAAGACAAAGAGAAGAACGTGAGGAAGAGCAGCGACTACAAAAGGAGAGAGATAAAATGCAAAGGCAGTTTGAAGAAGATTCCTTGCGTCAGAAGCAGAAAGAAGTAAGAGATCACTTATTCCATTACAGCTGACTATTTCTGTCTGCTAACGGTTTGCCATACCTATCAACACCAAAGCGAAAAGATGGGGCAGCAAGTGTGCTCTTCAGCTGTTCAGGAGTGCACTCAGTTAATAGGTGGGGGCTCCTTTATGCTAGGGGCAGTTGTGTACATTCAGTTGAATCGTTCTTATCACGGTTAGATTAAGTTAAAGAAGATATTCCATTTGTATCTAATCTTCCTTTAGAATATTGGTTAAAATATATAGTAGATTGCACCAAATACATTTTGACAACTGGTTTATTGGGTGGAAGCCCATCTAGTGCCTCTCAGGAAGAGGTGTACGTAATCATTCAATGTAAACATTTCTGTTTCATTGCAGAGTTATAACGACAATATCACAGCAAATAAATAACTTCTTTAGATGAAGTTGTTTGGGCGCCTTTAGTGGTCTTTTAAACAAGAATCTTTAAATGATCAGCTCAAAAAAGGTTATGTTTTATTAGTTTAGCCATATTTTCTTCCCTTCTCTATTTTACCAATTTTATCAGGGCTTAAAAATAGTTATCTTTAATATTTATCTCAGATTCTGGTACTCTGTTTTTCATTTTAAACCATTTGAGTGTTATAAATGGACATGGTAGGCACCCAGAACACTTCATCTAATTGAAGTGGTTTGGGTGCAGAGTCCCTGTCCCACCTAGTCCTGCAAAGTAAATTTTGCAGTTTTTGAGAAACTGCAATGATTACCTCACAGGAATAAGTGCCTCTAGTGGCTGTCAATCATATAGCCACTAAGGCGCTTCTGGGATTCTAACGGACTCTGAGTCCCTTAAACGACTCTGGATGTCCTCACATTTTGCATAAGGACATTGTGTCCGTAAAACCCCCCATAGAAAAGCATTGAGGCAATGCTTTCCTAAGGGGGGCGCTCATACGCATTAGGTTTCCCCGTCGTAGGAGGCAGAGTTTGTCCCAGTGTCCAGGGACATCGGCGCTGGAATCTGTATGTGACTAAAGGATTTTTTGACCCTTTATGTGCTGGAGGAGGGACCGCAGAAGGGGGGGTGGACCAGAGGGCACTATAGTGTTAAGAATACAGATTTGTATTCCTAAAACTATATACAATCCCTTTAATAGTTGGTTGAGGATATATGTTTAGGCTGAGTTCCCCCATCATTTATTTATTTTTATTTTTTTTGTATTCTTCTTTGTAGGAAGTGTTGAAAATGAAGACAAATGACCTTTACCAAAGTATGCTGAGGGCGCAGGAAGAGGCACAGCGACTAAAACAAGAGCAGAGGATGCGAGATTTACGCCAAAAAGGACATGACGTATCAAAATTGCAAAAACATTTAGCTGGTATTTCATTTACTCATTTGGTGTTGGGTATTGTGTGTTTTTCAAATGCAACCTTCGTACCAAATGCAATTTTAGTTTTCTGTTAGCAGGTATGCTAAAACATACTTACCAGCATGTTAAAGAATTACTTCACATTCCCGAGAAGCTTCGGCAAGTCATAATCTGTTGGGCATCTACAGAGAAATTCTTAATTTAATAATAATAATAATAATAAGGCTCTACAACATGTATTTGTAAGTGCCAAAATGACAGACCTGGACTGTCAAAAGCATTTAACCCTAGATTTAATGAAAGAAAAGTATATTCACAGAATGTCCAAAAACAAGACACTGCTACCCACTATTATAATTACCCCTTTATGCGATTTTATAATCAGATTATTTAGAGAGAGACCGATACAATAAAGTGCGATATTCACATTTTATCAGCCATGTAACCACTATCCTGCTTGTGTATGTAGTAGTGTACCCTTTAAAAATTATACTTCGGAACCTTATGTGGATCACCTTCAGACTTTGTATTGCTGCAAAGTTTTAGAACTGATCCAAAATTACCTTATAGAAACCTGATTCAAAAATAATAAATTTCAGTCAATCAAAACCCACAGCTATTAAGTTTTTAAGAGACAACCAAGATTTTAAAGAAGGAAGACTGTATAGGAGGTTCACAAGACGTAACTGAGTTGATTCAGATCAGTTTTCCACTTCTGAATATGATTCAAGCAGTAAAAAAGTGAAATCCACCTCCGAACCTGGATTACCTCAGAGTGGGAACCAACAAGTGTTTTGAAGAAAGGGGTCTTTTTATTTTTTTAGGAAGACCCAAGATGGAAGATTTGGTCAGACCAAGAACTTGCAATAGGGCACGTTCAAATTTAGAAGGAGGAGGTTTAGGCAACAGTCACAACCAAGTTATCAACATCACTATGTACCATCTGTTCTTAGTAGAGGTCTGTCCTTAATTCCAGTATCGAAGTTTGACATATTTGGCTAGACATATCCTTGTTTGCCCTCAAACTAGCTCTTCGTGAAAAAGGAAGTATCATTTTTAAAGGGAACTTAGCTACTGTATACACATGCAGGATAGTGGTTATATGGCTGATGTAATGTGATTACATTGCATTTTACAGAACTTGTATATATCTAAGTAATCTGTTTATAATCATATGAAGGGACAATTACAATACCAGACACGAGTGTCCTATTTTTAGACAATCTGTGAATATAATTTTCTCTCTTTTTTTGCTTTCAAATTCTTCAGTAGTACTGTACATGGGTAAATGGCATACATGGGTCTAATTCATTTACATAACCTGCCCATACAGCAAGGATTGACTGGGAAAGTCTTCTGTCTGTTATCATTTTGGCCATAATCTTATGCCACCAGTATTTTTTAATGCACTGCAGTTCGCAAAGGGACACTGTACTCACCAAAGCAACTTAAGGTTCATGATGCAGTTTTTGTGTATAGATCATGCTTCTGAAGTTTCGCTGCTCAATTCACTGCCATTTCAGAGTTTGATCACTATAGTTTGTTTGTGTCGCCCTAGCCACACCTCCCCTAGCCGTGACTGATACAGCCTCATGAAACCAAAATGGTTTCATTTTCAATCAGATGTAACTTACTTTAAAGTTCAATTTATAGAGCAGGAGATAAAATCTTTTAATCACATACAGGAGACTCCTGCAAGGTCTAGCGAGCTATTAACATAGCAGTTGATGAGAAATTCTAAATTAAATAGAATTTGCAATAAAGGAAGTGTAAACATTAGATGACTCTTTATAGGAAGTGTTTAGGAATGTTGTGTAAGTCACATGCAGGGGAGGTGTCCCTAGGGCTACATAAACAAAGTGATTTAACTACTAAATGAGTAGAGAATTGAGCAGTGAGACTGCAGGGGCATGGTATATATCTCTATCTATCTCAAAACTGCTTCATTAAGCTAAAGTTGTTTTTGTGACTAGTGTCCCTTTAAAACAAATGTCACAACAAGTTATAAATTCAGCACTGAATTATTCTTTTTCAGGTGATGTACAATCGGACCTCAGTAGAGCGGTTAGCAGAGTCACTGATTTACCATCAGAGGATCAAGGTAACGCAGTGAACAGCACCGCAAAACAGAGTTTTTCCACAACGATCTCCCCTCGGAGAGACACTGGTGTACAAACCGGTAAGGACATTTCCCATAAATAAAAAACACTCTGAGATTGTGCATTCACTGTTGGTTCTTATATGTTTTTGTCCTTATAGGATACTTAAAGCATCATAACATTACAGTTGTAGAGGAGGCACATTATGGCTGCCAGAAAAGAACTAAAAACAGAGGTGCTGCACTCAGATTATTTTAACCATAACCACTTAAACAAGCTGTAACAATTATGGTGCTTCGAGTATCCCTTTCATGCCACGATTTTTTCACTGAAGAAATTTGAACTGGGGAAGAATGACAGATTTTAAAAAAATCTTCTAAACCATAGTCTTTTACTTCACATGTTAAACATTTCTGTTTTACTTTTTTTCCTACCAATTTGTGTCTCAATCTTCTTAAAGTCTACATAGATTATTAAAGTCTACTTGTTAATGAGCAATTAAAGTGTTAATAACTTAATAAACTAGATGTAAAATAACCTGAATACTGTACTTGTTTTTAATTATGCATTAACACTTCCAGAAATAAACCTTCGTACCAACCCAGCAGCTTGCATTAAATACCTTTTTTGACTTGGGCAAACTAGAGGATGTGATTATTATAAAGCTCACGTTCTCAACTATTAATGACAATGCTTTTAAGTAATAAAAGAAAATCTGTTTCATAAAGTTGCATGCACTTGATCTATGAAGGAAATCCAAAAATAGTTTCTGGGTTTGGTACTTTTTTGCCTCAAGTGGACCTTTTATGTTAGGCTTTTTTCTACCTTATACAGCATATCCCCAATAGCATGGAAATCAAACTTAACCCCTTAAGGACACAACTTCTGGAATACAAGGGAATCATGACGGAATATTTCCGTCATGTGTCCTTAAGGGGTTAAAGGGACACTGTAGGTACCCAGACCACTTCAGCTTATTGAAGTGGTCTGGGCGCAATGTCCCAAGTCCCTTAAAGGACCACTCTAGGCACCCAGACCACTTCAGCTTAATGAAGTGGTCTGGGTGCCAGGTCCTTCTAGGGTTAACCCATTTTTTCATAATTATAGCGGTTTCAGAGAAACTGCTATAATTATGAATGGGTTAAGCCTTCCCCCTAATCCTCTAGTGGCTGTCTCATTGACAGCCACTAGAGGCGCTTGCGTGCTTCTCACTGTGATTTTCACGGTGAGAGCACGCAAGCGTCCATAGGAAAGCATTGTAAATGCTTTCCTATGCGACGGGCTGAATGCGCGCGCAGCTCTTGCCGCGCGTGCGCATTCAGCCCAGGAGGAGGAATGGAGGAGGAGAGAAGGAGGAGAGCTCTCCGCCCAGCGCTGGAAAAAGGTAAGTTTTTACCCCTTTCCCCTTCCAGAGCCGGGCGGGAGGGGGTCCCTGAGGGTGGGGGCACCCTCAGGGCACTATAGTGCCAGGAAAACGAGTATGTTTTCCTGGCACTATAGTGGTCCTTTAACCCTACAGTGGTAATTATTGCAGTTTCTGAGAAACTGCAATAATTACCTTGCAGAGTTAACTCCTCCTCAAATGGCTGTCTACCAGACAGCCACTAGAGGGACTTCCCGGTGCTTAGACGCCTTTTGATTGTGTAAATGATGCTGGATGTCCTCCCGCTATGCATGAGGACTTCCAGCGTCACCAGAATCCCCAGAGCAAAGCTTTCCTTTTGCAAAATCCTAATGAGAGTGCGGCCATTGCTATGCATGCGCATTAGGTCTCCCTTGCCGACGTCGGCAGGGGAGGAGCTTGGCGAAGCCTGACCCAGAACCGAGGGACATCAGTGCTGGATTCAGGTAAGTGTCTGAAGGGGTTTTAACCCATTCAGCGCCGTGCGGGAGGGGGTTACTATAGGATTCTATAGTGCCAGGAAAACAATTGTTTTCCTGGCACTACAGAATCTCATTAATAGTATACAACAATAATTTGATGTTAAAGCCAGTTGTTTTAAGTGGATATGTGAGGTTTCAGACTTTTAGGAGTAACTCAATTTGTAGACCCCCCTAGTTACCTTGGAAAGTGGTGCTGAATATTCCTGAAAATGTTCTCAAAAATTCTTTATTTTGTTGATAGATTTCGGAGATGGTGAAATAGATACTGGACCTCTAATTCACATAGATGACACTGAGTGGAGATGTGCACAAGCCTCATCGCCAGATATACCTATCGAATTTAAAGTACAAACCAAGACTGACATTCATTTAAAAAAACAGAAGACATTCAGAGAGAAAGGGGATTCCCGTAAGGAAAACAAAAATACTGTTAATGACATCTATGAACCATTTGCAAGAACAGATAAAGTTGTCAAGGACCGTTCTAGAAAACCAGACTGGAACAGAAACAACCCTAACAAAAAATATATACCGGCCTCTGAGAGATACCCAAAAGGACTTCAGAAACACAGGGAGGAGAGTAAAGCTCGGAGGCAAACGGAGCTGCTTAATTTGGTGGAAAAAAACACCGTAACTAATGTGAAGATGAGACAAGGGAATTCTCCAGTAAAGACTTCCCCTATGCCTGTTGAAGACGCTAAAGTCTTCCTACCTCCCCAAGAAACTAAAGTAAACCAAATGGTAAAAAGGGTAAGTATTTGGTAACTCGCAGCAAACCCTCAGGTTTCACTTTTGGATTCGGGAAGATTATTCTGATAGATGGAGTTGATGAAAGCTAAAGAAAATGTAATTTACAATTCTCTAAACCAGAGAGATACAAAATCATTTAACTATTAAACAACTATAGTACATCCTAAAACAATATTTTTTTGAGCATGTTTTAATTTTGAGTCATTTAGCATTTTCATATAGCAACCACAAAGAGGGACACATACAAAAATAGTAAAAGTAACATTGTATAAATATGTGTACAATTACCTTAAAACTAGAATTATAAGTAGTGACTAAGAAATTAAAAAAAAAATATCCACAAATTCTTATTTTGTTGTTGTTTTGTTTTCATAATTCCAGGAAGAACCTTACCAGAAAACCAATTCAAACTTCAGACGGTAGGTACTCACAATTACATGTACACAGTTACAGGTTAGAGCTAAAATAGAAGTTAAAGGGACACTATAGTCACCTGAACAACTACAGCTTAATGTATTTGTTCAGGTATGATCTATAGCTCGCTGCAGGCAATCTAATGTAAACACTGTATTTTCAAAGAAAATACAGTGTTTATATTGATCGGAATACCTCCAGTGGCCGTCACTCAGACAGCCACCAGAGGGACTTCCTATCATGCATGGCCCTAAAAAGGCCTTGTACACGTCAGACGTATTAAAATACGTCTGACGTGTGCAGGAGAGAGAAGGCACTGTGTGCGTGCCTTCTCTCGTCTGCCTGTCCGCAGAGAAGAGGGGGCGGGCAAAGACCGCGAGCTGAGCTGTCAGTCAGGACTTCAGAGGGCAGCAGGACTTCAGAGGGCCGCCCTCTGAAGTATGTGCGGCGATGCCGCGCATGTGCACAAGGGAGCAATGACGCTTCCAAATGGAAGCGTCTGATTGCTCCCTGCTCGCGCCTGCCTATTTCATCAATTTGACGAAATAGGGGGAGCGGCTTCACGAGGCTCAAGGCGCTGGAACCAGGTGAGTAAAATTCTCTGCCTGGAGAGTCCCTTTAAGAAAAAAAATAAAATACATTTAATTGTCGACATTGTAGCATAGGTAGATAGGCTTGTGTGTGTGTGTGTGTATATATTGTAGAATATATTTATAATTTTTGTATTGAAGTTCTAACTTACATGAAATTAATGAAAATGGTTACAATACACTGGGGTGTTTTTTTTATGTCTACTTACTTTGTTGGTGTAATTTTAGATTGGTGGGATTTTAAACAAGACTAAATATTAAACAAGACTAAAACATAAAGTTTTAAAACGAATGACACATTGGGGGCGGGGCCTGACTGTCATGGAGGGAAGACGTGCCTAGCTGGAGCTCCACACTAATCTTGGGGGAAAAATGGCTTTAAAGGCACCCCTATTTCACTACAAACCACACCCCAGGACCCCAAGCGACTTACTAGTCCTCTACCCTCACGGTAAACCGGTGATGCGGCCCGTGAGTGGACTGCAGAGTGCACCTGCGAGGGCAAGTGGCCTGGCAAACACCGTGCGGTAGAGGTGGCCGGTCTCCCAGCCTGGAACCACCCGGAGACCAACTGCCACGAGTGGACACCCTTTGGTCTGGTGGGGGTGATCCCGGTCCACCCATGGTGGTACCCTCCAAGACGACGGAAACAACCGTGAAGATGGCCAGAGAGCTGAGAGGCCAACCTAAAATGGCAGATACCACGCGGCCAGCAGACAGCCAACTCCTGTCCAGCATTGACAGGAGTTTCCAAAACGTCTGGCTCAAGCTTGAACTCATGCTGCAACAAGGTGCTCTACGACTACTCACCGTACGTCGCCCACCTCGACAACCGCCACCTCAGCATCAGCCTGCAGCCCCGATGGGGCCTAAAAAAAAACACGCGACGGCGAAGTAAGCACCTCGCTCGCGGAGAGTGGGTGGAAACCCCGGAAAACAAGCCTCGATCTCAAGCAAGCACCCACCTCCTCATGGGCGACTCTATCCAGGCCCAGTGGCACGATCAACCGACTCCAACCACACCCGCTCACTCACCGCACCACAACAAAGCTTGGCCAACTCCCACTCCGGCAGGACGATCTACACAACGCCACATTGGGAGATAAAAACATGCCTGGTGGACATTGTACACAAGGAAGGTGGAAGCCCAGCCAGGGAATCGGCTGACTGCCTAAACTTCGGGAGCTGGCTGCCGGTTGAGATAATTCTCTGGACAGGGACCCCAACTGAGGCTGCAAACAACCCAGCGACACAAAAGCAAGAAAAATTCTACTAAGTTAAAAATGTTATTATATTGATCTCACTTTAGATTAGCCAAGTCTCCTCAACTCAACATATACTGCACAATTGTTTTAGCTTTAACTAATGTTGCGTCAGTGTCATATCAGTTGCATGCATGTTAGCTTACAATATGAAAATTAGATAGCCTCTGGTGCATTAGGGCAAACTGTGAATTGCCAGTCCTTTTCTAACACAATAGTCAGCATGCTAGGTCGCTGTTTTTTTTTCCCTCATATGTGTAACTCTGTGCACCAAAGATGTCAGAATGCTACAAGCATATTTACTCTTACAAAGATTATCACGTAGACATATCTACTATACTTACTTTACCTTTAAACAAAAAGTGCACGTTTTCAAAGCCACTGTTTAACCTATCTATGTTGCCATATTATTTAACACTGTTGTGGCGCATGACTATACTTTGTACTCACCTGCACAACAAAAATAAAGAATAATAAAAAAAAACGAATGACACATTCTAAATGTGTCGCTAACATCCAAATAGTGAGAAAAATAAAGGCATGTGAGTGCCTTTTTATTATCAAATTCTTTTATTTTAAAATTTTTATATATATCAATCATAACATAATATAAATTCTTAAAACATATACAATAAAATTACAAGGAAAAAAATGAAAGGGAAACAAATGTGAGGGAAGGTAATGCAAATATAAATTGTACATAACCATGACCATTCGTATTATTCTGGCTAAAGCAGAATCATTATATAAGCATATATGTATACGACATACATATATATGTATGTCGTATAGAGGTATCCACATTTTTAATATAACAAAGCAGGACAATATGCACAGAGACAAAAATAAGAGATTAGAAAATATAGCAAGAATGAGAATAGAAGGTAGGGGTTATTGCTGTACTCAGGGGGTGTAGTGGCATATTATTCAATAACACACACTGCAGTATGTGAAAAATATATTGCCCAATAGATGCCCTATTTAGAATTCCTGCTTTTTATATAAATAAAAAATACTTTTATGGAAGTAATTTCAGTTTGCTGGTTGTAAAACTCCAAAATGAGATGCCACCGCGCATTAAGCACTATGGCATGATATGCAGTCTTTGCAACTAATTGGTCAGTTAAGGGTAAGGTTAGGTGGCTGGGATTCGCTCTGACTCTAGGTCAATTAAGGTAACAATTGCAGATGAATGTCTGAGCTAACTAGAAAGATGATCACTTGTTGGTTGCCACTTGAATACAAGAAGATAGGGGTGTGTAAATATGGTTTTATTTAAAGGGTTACTCCAAACTGGTTTCAGACTTGAATTTTTTTTGCTTCTGTTGTATTATTGTGCACTCGCCACCTAGTCGCCCCCATTTCTCCTGTCTTTTGAGGTGGAAAATGTTAAAAAGTAGCTTTACAGTTACCTAAAATCCAGCGCTTGGCCAGGTTCTTTCCGTCCCTTTTCACACATTGTCAATTGTCATGCCACATTACCTTCTTCCTGTCCGCAGTCAAATCAAATGCTTCTCATAGCGAAGCTTTGGACCTTGGACCATGTGCTGCGACCAATGCCTCAATCAGCTTCTTTTGATAGAATCTCGTCTCCAAAGCACAGAGAAGTAGGGACGTAAAAGCTATCATTTGGGGATACTAGGAAGTTGGCTGGCATTAAGTGGAGGAAGGGAACAACTTACAGTTGAGCCTTTTTGTTGGACTGTGTGCATGTAAACTGCGCGCACACACGCAGTCCTACAGGCCGCTCCTTGCAGCCATGCTCAAGGGAAGAAGCTGATTATGTCCTTCAACAGTGCGCATTATGTGTGGACGATGGATGTTGTTTTGCACATAAGTCAGTCCAGAACACCCTGGCACAAATTTCTCTGTATATTTCTTTGTATAGTCAGCATTTCAGGCTGAAACACTGCACGTATAGATTGTTTGCACCATGACCACTTCTAAAAGAAGAAGTTGTCAAGGGGATTAAAGTAATCATTTAATTCTTTATCCGTATTAAAAGCCCTTTTCTAAACACCATGGCCTTTGCACTAATTAACGCTTGAACTTGTATATGTATTGTGCAGTCTTATTTATTGTAACTGCTGCATACAATGCGTATGAGATATAGGCCTAATTATTTTTTTAATTCAAGGGCCTGCTGGTAACATGAGCAACTACCAAACAGAACTAAATAAAATATGAATTTTCTTTCATCACACTTGGATATCTACCAAAATCATTGAAATTTTATATTGTATTCACTGTGAAACTTTATAATTCTCATCCTAAATCCCTTCTCATATGAACCAGGTCTGTGACGGTAACTTTGATTGTATATATTTTAAAGATAACATGCAATGTCTTTTATTATCACAGGCCAGATTCTCCCCCAGTTCCTGCTGTGAAAAACCGGTTACATCAAGCGCAGAAAAAACTGACTGCACCCTCTAACCAACAAATTTACAGTGGGACTTCTGTCCACAGGGCCATTGACAACGCTAAACACAGTAACACTTCTCCAGAAAGCAGTGATCAAGAGTCTGATCGACCCCCTTCTTCACATTTTATTCCATACGTGAGAACGAAAGAGATATACTATCTAGATCCAAATGCCCCAATGTCAAGACCATCAACACATGATCCACAATACAGACGACCTGGTATGAATACTGTAGATCTGGTTATATAGTACCCTTGGGTATTTTTACAAATGGTACTTTCCAACAGTCACAATGTGCAAGGTTATTGCCAGGGGGGAAAAAAACGTATCCCTGGATCAACCAGCTCTTACTTAAATGACAGGGATAATCCTTTAGTTATATGTATTTTCTGTGTTGCTAAATTAAGCGGCTAGTATTTTTATTTTATTTATTTTTGTAAATATTAAAGCGGCACTGTCAAGCCGAATCCTGTTTTTTTTTGTTTTTTTTTTTCACCCCCCTCCCGAGTCCACTATCTCTAATTGACCCCCTAGTCACCCCCAAACCCTCATATTACCTATTTTTTAATCTTTCTTTTCTGCCCCGATCTATATTCAGGGCGCCGCCATCTTTGTGTGGGTAGAGGAAGTCCCTGTGGGACACGTCATCTGCCCACACTAGATAGACTGTGAGATTCCCGCACATGCCCAGTGATACACCTGGACATGCGAACGGGAATTTCATCCATTCATTCATCAGAAAGACGAATGAATGAATAGAAAAATCAGACGAACAAACTAACACTGTGTATCAGTGTTCGTTCAGTTTTATTACAAGGAGGGAGCTACCGGCGCGCAGCTCCCTCCTTGTAATATGTAAAGATAGAAGCGGCAGGGAGCAGTGCTTCCCACCACTTCATAAGCCCCCCAGGTCCCCCCTCACTCTATGGTGGTCAATATGACCCCCATAATAGCATAAAGGAGATTAAAATCTCCCCAATGCCCCTACTCGCTATACCGCGAGTAGGGGCATGTCCACTACTGTGGCTGCTCACTGTTAACAATTGGCCCCAACCCCTAAACGACATAATGATAACTGGATTAGGACCCCAGGTGGCAGGTGGGGGCCATAATGATAATGAGGGGGGGACCTACTGTCCGGCCCCCCACCCCTGGGCAGCGGGTGGGGGCCATAATGATAATGAGGGGGGGACCTACTGAGTTCTAAAAGAAACGAACATACTGTTCTCATTCAGTTAGAACGCAATTCGTCAGTTTCGTGTAAAATGACAGGAAGCATCGCGGGAACACAAGGAAAGGTAAGAATTATGGGAAAATTGCTCTGACCAGCGGAAATGAAGCACACTTTGCTCCTCCGTTGGTCAGAGCTGGTCAAGTGGAGGAATCCTCCATAAGGCAAAGAGTCCCTACTTTGTCTTATGATTTTAAAGAAAACTAAGAAGACAGGAAGAAAAGAAGAACAGATCCTTAGAGAGGGGGAGAAGAGGAAGAGATTGAGGAGAGGTAAGTTCGGCATGACAGTGCCGCTTTAATGGCTTACTATAAAGAGAAGGCTAATTTTGGGTGTGGCGCTACAAATGAAATATTGCCATTTATTCTCAGGTGATGAACAGGAGATGAGACAGATCTTCAGCTCTGACCATGCAAGAGATCCTTTACTAAATCCTAATGTAGTCAAGAATAAAGACCGACAGCAGGCAATACTGAGAGGATTGTCTGAATTAAGAAAGGTATGTTTTATCTTAATTAAGAAAAGTAATCACATACATATATTTGTTTATTTCATTGCCAACACTGCTGCATATTATCAGGTAGGGAGCGGTCGTCCTCATCATTCCTGATGTTTTGCAGGGTGGGTTATGTGGACAGTACATATAGTGTACAGACTGCTTTGGTTTTTCTCAACTAAAATTTATTGCGTACATATGTGATGATAGGTCTATTGTTGCTAGTTTTACTCTTACTCTTCCTTTGATTATATTCTTTTCATAAAAAGTGCAACATCCTTGACACATCAACTGTAATATTCTCTACTCTCCCAGCCTAATTCACTCTTGTTGATTTGTCATAATGACCTTGTATGTATATCTTTGCACGTCAAAAATAAAGAATGTCAAAAATAAAATAAAACTGTTTCCCGTAACCACAGCAAAGCTGTAACAAAAGCAAGATAGCTTAAGAATGGTGACCGGACCGTTTTTCAATTTTCTTACCGTTCAGGATCCAGGGCTCTTTTTACATTTCTGCGGGTTTGGGTTTAAATGTAATTTGCCTCTTACTCATTTTACCCATATTATATACCGTTTTTCTCGACGTTAAATGGTCTTTCTAAAGATCCCATTATTTTCATCATATCCTAAATTTACTATGAAAAAATGATAAAAATTTTAAAATACACCTTTTCTAACTTTGACCCCCAATATCTGTTAACTAGTGATGTCGCGAACGGTTCGCCACGGACTCATCATTGAGTAAACTTTGACCCTGTACCTCACAGTCAGCAGACACATTCCAGCCAATCAGCAGCAGACCCTCCCACCTCCTGGACAGCTCACTAAGAATGCAGCTTCACAATGAATGTAAAATGGATGCTGTCCAGGGTGGGAGGGAGGGTCTGCTGCTGATTGGCTGGAATGTGTCTGCTGACTGTGAGGTACAGGGTCAAAGTTTACTCAATGATGAGTCCGCGGCGAACCGTTCGGGACATCACTACTGTTAACCCCTTAAGGACTGTAGACGTTTCAGGACAGTCATCGGCATTTTTGCCTTGCCGACTGACCCTGAACCGTCCTAACGGTCTTAGTTACTTACCTGATCGCTGTCGTTCCCCCGGCGGCAATCAGCGGTGCTCCTGTTGTGGGGAGATTGCCTGCAGCCCAGACAGTCTCCCCACACTGGATTAGGACCCCTGGGGCCATGTGATCGCTCAACAGAGTGATATATACGTATATATTTATGCATATATATATATATATTTCATTCTACGTGTATTTTGATATATATATATATAACAATACAGTTAGAACGAAATAACACATCTATATTTTTTAATTATTTTTTTATTTTTTTTTTTAACGTATTTACACTTTTTTATATTATATATAAATATAATAATTATGTATATTTAATCAGTATCAGTCTACGTGTAATTTGATATATATATCTATATATCTCTATATAATTTATTTATTTTTACACTGATTAACTTTATTTTTTTTCATTTCCAGCCTGCAGGGGGACTAACTGTCATTACAGGCAGTCCCCCCTGCTGGCAATGCAGCAGCCAGCTAACCCGGCCATGTAATTGTGAGGACCTCACTCTCACATGGCTGGGGGGCGGGGGGAGGAGGCAGGATCTGCAGCGGGGGACTCTCTGGGATCCCAGGTGTCTCCCCAACCGCTATCGCCGGCAACGGGGTAAAAAAAAAAAACGGAGGGCGTACTATTACGCCTTGCGGAGTTTAGAGCCGCTTAGAATAGGGCGTAATAGTACACCTTTTGGTTTTAAGGGGTTAAGCATCTACAACTGCCAAAAAACACCCGTGCTAAATAGTTTCTAAATTTTGTCCTGAGTTTAGAAATACCCAATGTTAACATGTTCTTCACTTTTTTTTTAGAAAGTTATAGTTGCGATTTCCAAACCATTTTTTTTATTATTTTTTTTTTATATAAAATGCAAGTTACATTGTAACACTGATATCTGTCAGGAATTTCTGAATAACCTTTCACATGTATATATTGTTTTAAAGAAGACAACCTAATATATTAAACTTGGTATTTTGACTCTTTTCATGCAACCATCCTACCACCAATCTATTTAAAAATATATATATATATTAACTTTGGCCAGTGATTGTGACTAAGTGGTTACTAAAAAAAGACTGGACATGCCCCATATTGAATACCCTGGGTTGTCTAGTTTTCAAAAATATATGGTTTGATGGGGGTAAACTACATTGTCCAGCTTCAAAAATGTCCCAAATAGGACATGGGTACATGATGACCAGCTGTGAAAATTCCAAGTTGGAAAACTGGAATGTGCACCCTCCAAATAAGGTCTTTTAGCACCCAGAGAACCTGACACCTGTACATGGGTGGTGTCTCTGTACTCAGGAGATGTTGCCGAACACATATTGCGGTGTTCTTTTGTAGTAACCCTTAAAGTTCTCAGTACATATAATATTCTTAAATTGCTATGTGTCTCGAAAAAAATCACCAATTTTATTTATTTTATTTGGCATAGATTGGTGTTAAAATAGTTGCATGAAGAGAGTCAAAATACCCAAAGTTTAATATATTATGTTGTCTTCTTTAAAACAATATATACATGCAAAGGGTTATTCAGGGATTCCTGACAGATATCAGTGTTACAATGTAACTTTCATTAATTTTGGAAAAAAATGGTTTGGAAATAGCTACATGTACTTACTGCCCTATAACTTTTCATAAAAGAACATGTTAAGATTGGGTATTTCTAAACTCAGGAAAACATTTTTTAGAAACTATTTGGCACGGGTGTGTTTTTGTTTTTTTTTGGCAGTTGTAGATGCTTAACAGATTTTGGGGGCCAAAGTTCGCAAAAGTGTTTTTTAAAAACTTATTTTTATGAAAACTCTTTTTATAGTAAATATATGATGAAAATAATGGTATCTTTAGAAAGACCTTTTTTAATATGTATATGGGTACTGTAAATGAGTAATAGGCAAATTACAGCTAAACACAAACCAAACACAGCAGAAATGTAAAAACAGCCCTGGTTTAACGGTAAGAAAATTAAAAAATGGTCTGGTCACTAAGGGGTTAAGTAACTTTATCCCCACTGGGAATATTCACCTTGAGCCACGTAGCGTAAGAGCGGGCAAACAAGTGATCAGTACGCCCCATTCTATGTGACATTTCTTCATACAAAGTTATTTTACGCAATCTAACACTGCCGAAATTGAAGCGGGGGGGGTCTGTTATGTTTTACAGCCATCAATATATGTGAAGTTAAATAGGTAGTATATGCAATGCAGTAGGCATGTTTCTGACCTGAAGGGTTGTTTAAAGGTTGTGGCTGACCAGTGTATATTAACTAGGGACATGGGCACAATACATATTTGTATTATATCTGTATTCCCAATGGTACAGCCCTGATGCCTGTTATCCATTAGGTCACCCCACTCTTTAATTTATATTTTTTTTTTTATTTACTGGTAAATGCCATGTGTTTTTCCATGTAAATTTGAAATATCTCTTTTTTCTCCCTCAATTTAGGGTTTGCTGCAGAAACAGAAAGAACTTGAGACTGTTTTGATGCCAGATGTTTGAAAATTATCTGGACTTGTAATTTGTACTATATGTGTCATCTGTAACTTATTAAACTTTATCACTTTTACCCATGTGAATTGCAAGTGGTTGCTCCGTTATATTTATTTGATGTTCTAAGTGACTGTGTTGTGTGTATTTTAGAACACTTCATAATCTGTTTCTAATTAATAAATTGTATTAAGCATTAGTTTTTCCAATACATCACGCATGCTACAGGCAGAGTAAGTGTATGAATTTCAGAGTCTTACTATGCCATGGATTTAGTGAGGTACTGGAATAATTAGCTAGGTCTGAAAACATGGATGAGCCTCAGTAGTATAGCTTTAATCATAAGGGAAAACTGCACTAGTGCTATAGTATAAAGCAGAGATCCTCAGAACTGAAGAAACCAAATCACTTTCGTATTTGCCTCCTTTTAATTCAAAATCAAATACTGAGATTTGTGAGTGATTTAACATTTGAGCTTTTCTTACCGTAAAGCAGCAATGCTTGCAAAACTTTTTTTTTAATAAAAATATCACAGATATACTCATCACTATAGATACCAAGACCACTCATATCACCGAAGTGGTCAAGGTGCAATATCAGTGTCCCTCTTAACCCTACAGCTAAGTACATTGCAGTCTTAGAATTTGCAGTATTTTCATTGCAGGGTCAAGACTGAAACAGCAGGAAGCATGCAGAGTTGGATGTACAGTGTCTTCTAAATCCTCATAGGAAAGCATTGACTCAATGACTTCCCATGGGGAATGCCCAACATTACCGCACATGTGCATTATGTTTCCCTCACATTGACAGATGAGGCGGAGACTGACCCACTGATGTACCTTGGCACTGTGATAGTTTTTTTTTTTTTTTTTTAACCATTTAATTGCCTGGTCGAGGTATGCAGAGGGACACTCCAACTGTGTTGAATATCGAGACTAAGGAAATTAAGGGCGTAGTGGTAAGATCGGAGAAGTTCATGGTTGCAGCATATACAGATAATCATACTAAGAATACACTATGGGAAGGTTTCTGGCTATAAACGTTAATGGAAGCAAATCTTACACATTGTCCCTCCATCTGTTGGCTGCCAACACAGACACTGTATGCTTAAAGGATCGGCTTAATGAAGTGGTCTGGGTGCCTGGTCCAGCTAGGGTTAACTTTTTTTTTTTTTTATAAACATAGTTTCAGGAAAACTGTTTACACGGAGGGTTAATCCATCCTCTAGAGGCTGTCTCATTGTAAATGCTTTCCTATGAACTGGCTGAATGCGCGTGCGTCTCCTGCCGCGCATGCACTTTCAGCCGATGACGTCGCCAAGAAGGAGGAAAGCTCTCCGCCCAGCCCTGGAGAAAGGTAAGATTTTAACCCATTCCTCTCCCCAGAACCCGGCGGGAGGGGGACCCTGAGGGCACTCTAGTACCAGGAAAGTGTTTTCCTGGCACTATAGTGGTCCTTTAAGGAGCGGTTTCTACCTATGAGCACTAGGGGGAAAGAGGCTTTCTATAACGTAGACAGGACCTTCACACACTGAGAAACCTATCTCACAGCTAGGACTCATCCATAACATCAAAACAAATGTGGTAAGGAGATAATTTTTTTCTGTTAAGCTCTGCCCATATTACTGACCAAAAAGATCTTGAAAACACAGACACATAGATACATTTATCTGGAACAGACCAGCATAGGTTAGCTAGAAATATGTTCTACACACTTAAAACAAGGGCTGCCAAATCTCATATCTTATGCAGCACAATTGGCCTCAATGGTTGCGACCCTAGGGGAACAACTATGGGTTGAGCTTGAGACATCTAATGGGATCTGACTAACCCATGTTGTTTAGAAGGCCAAATAAACAAGCTTTACTCTGAACAGATAGTCCTTGCATCGCAACCTCTAACCATATGGGACAAAATTCAGTATAATTTCTTTTAGCTCAAACCCCTCACCCATGACACTAATTTTACTTAGATATTTCCCAAGATTGGGAAATGACCCGTGAGGGACATGGGAACTTGGACCTTTGGGAAGATGAAATAGTACAGTTTAATACTCTGAAAGAGAGGGCTCACCTGCTGTTCCACAATTTCTTCAGAGTCATTCAAAGTAGGGACTTTGCCAAACAAGAACTGGTAACCAAAAAAAAAAAACCATAATCTTGCCTATTTTGAATTGCTCATTCAGTGGGGCACTTACAGAAAAGGCTTTATAACGAATGTCTATAAATACATTTGCTCCCAGACATGTGGTACCCTTGAGATACATTGATTAATGGAAAAACCTAGGAGATGAAATACCAGGTGACGAATAGGGAGACATCTGGGAATCTGCAGACAAGGTCTGTATGTGTTACCTAACAAAAACTTGTTCAATATTTTATTTAGATGCCACACACCTTTACAGCTATATAGAATAGGAAAAGCACAGACGATGGCTGAGAAAGTACATATTTCCACATGTGGTGGACCTGCCCAACCCTTTCCACCTTCTGTTTCAGTGACTGCTCAACCCTGGATCCTTTGTTATTCCTGCTTTCCAAACCAATAGAAGCCATTCCTAGTAGGGTGCAAAGGCTTTGCATAAAACTTGCGCTAGCCAGACAGACTTTTGGCTGCACACTCGATAAATCCAGAGCCCCCTCCCTTCAGAGATAATACATAAAGTTGAGGAAAATCACCTTACGGACTAACTGCTACACTTCAAAACTCCCTCCCATCCTTCCATAACATTTGGAAACCCTAGCAAGCTTATTAAAGGGGCATTTTGGATCCCATAAAACAAACTAGACTTGCTTTACACACCGCAGTGGTCACCCTTCCCTTTCTACTCTGTTTATTTTTATAGAACAAAATTGATTGACATGCAGCCGATGGTTTTTGTCCATCTTTAGCCACACAGAACCAAGAAGTTCTACTATGCATTTTATACACATCCTGTTCCAATGTACCTCACTAATATTGTACACTGAAGGCTTCCTTTTTCTTGTAGAGGTCTATCACTTTACAAATGTGTACTACTGTACAATGTTATCTGACTTTTGCTCACAAAGTAAAAAATTTTAAAAAGTGGTTTTTAAAAAAGGTAGCCTATGCTGAGCAGTCTGCAGGGAGGCTCACAGCATGCACAGGACACAGATCCTTTTGTGTGATTAAACTGTTAACTGCAAGTAGTCTGATTATGGACAGATTCTTACCATTGCCTACCTACCCTGATGCATATTAGTCACAGCTCTATACTACCAAACATCCCTTATATGCTATAGTGTATAGATTGAATTTAATGCACTTTAAGAGCTAAAGTTGTTTTGGGCACTACAGTTGCCCTTTAAAGGTTTGTATCACCTGCTATTTTATATGGATTATAAATGGCATGTATATTTTGCAAATACCTGTCAATGTCTTACTGCTTTTAAAAAAAAAAAAAAAAGTGTTCCATACAAACCTACACTTTCTCCTGCACCAAAAATAATTGTGCAATTGTGGGCTCATCAGGAATGTGGACAGATACAGTCTTGCACTAGGGCTCCTTTAATGGTTCAAATGAGTGGTTTGTATTTTGACATAAACATTGCCAAAAAAAATAAATACAAAAAAAAATTATTTGAGTTGTAAAAGTGTATTAAAGTTCATAATCCAGACACATAGGTAGAGTTTAGCAGTTTATTGCGCTGCTGGTTCAATATATAAAATCCCTATGCTGCCTGGGTAAAAAAAAATTACATACCAGACCTCTAAGTGCACAACATTTATTATTGTAACGGGAGAATGCACTATTGTTATAGTAGATATATTTAGTCAGTGTGTACAATTTTGTTAAAACAATTTTTTTGTACCTAGATTTAAAAAAAAAAAAAAATATATACAAATATTCAATGTTTCACATATGTACACAAAACATTGACCATAAAAAAAAAATGAAAAAAATTACATAACTTTGAAGGACTTTGCCACAAAACACTGTTCAAATAAAGGGAAAAAAATGCAAACAAATCTTCACTTACAATGACAAATAAAAAAATGCTTGCTTCTGTTCAATTGGACATACAATCATGATTCCAAAATGAGGGCGGAATACCATTTATCTTGTTATCTAGGCAATAAAACTTGTAAATGACCTTGTAAGAAAATGAAGAATTTTACAAAATGTCTTCTATATAAATATGTATTTACTTTTTATGGTGAAAAAAAATATATATAATAAAAAAAAAATTATTTCATATTCCACTTCTGATCCCACTCAGAATTTTGTGGCGCACCCTGTTCTGCCACTTGACTGTATGAATTCATGTAGTAATTCCCTGATTGAGCTTGGTTTGAAAGGATAGGGTACATTGTTCCAAGAAATGTTTGGTGAGTGAGGACGTTGAAGTGGCTAATCTGATGGGACAAGCCAATTTGTGAACTGGTGTAATCTGGGAAATTGTTCAAAATCCCACCCGCTGTTGCAGTATTGTTTTCACCTGCAACGGTTCCTGCTGTAGAGACTGGAGTAACTGGCTGCACGTCATCTGAAACAATGTTAAGAGTAATGTTCTGTTGCAAGTTGGCCACACTTGCTGCAGTAAGTGAAGGGTCAGCATGTTCTGACTGTTTAATAGGTTCTCCATTGTGAGAGTCAGATTTGAGAGAATCTGTGCACAGTTCTATCTGTGGCGTTCCGTCTTCAGAATCAAGAGACATATCTTCTTCATCTTTGACATCGGTTTCTCCAGGAGCTGTATTAAAAATAGAATTTACAGAATTCATGGTACCAGGCAATGCTACTCACTCAATATGTATTTTCAAAGTCAGCATGCATGGGTCAGAGTCACCATCTTCTATCACATGCGTTGCCGTGAATGACCTTTTAAAGTAAAAGTTGGGGATTTTCAGAGAATAGGTATAAAAATAAAACAAAAAAACCATAACTACGAAGATATCCCAGCTCAATAACCGGAAGGCAGGGTCAACTAGATTTGTATTTGTTTTTAGTGTAAATCCTGAAATAATAATAAAGAAAAACTACATATACATTTCAAAGACCACGAAGCACCAAAACAAATTTAGTTTAATGAACCAGTTGTGCGTATATCATGCCCCTGAAGTCTCACTGTTCACTTCTCTGC